CCACAAAAATATTAGGAAAAATTTTTTCACTGTGAGGGTGACAGAGCACTAGCACAGGCTGCCCAGGGAGGTTGTGGAGTCTCCTTCTCTGGAGACATTCAAAACCCTCCTGGACATGTTCCTGTGTGACCTACGGTAGGTGATCCTGCTCTGGCAGGGGGGCTGGACTAGATGATCTTTTGTGGTCCCTTCCAACCCCTGACATTCTGTGATTCTGCGTTACTGCTGGTTTTTAGGCAGTACAATGTATTTCCTCTAGATGGTGGTAGGTACTCAAGAATTACATGTACGGTGTCTGCATAGTACCTTCCATAGCCCAGCTATTTGCACGAATCTGTAAACACGTGCTTGTTAATGAAGTTTTAGTAGATGCAGGAATTGTGCTGGGAAAGATTTCAGCTTATATGACTAATGCCTAAAGGAGCAATAATAGAATTCAAGGGGCTCGTTCCATAGTCTTTTTCACAGTCAGAAGAATGCTGAAGTTCCTTAAGTTTATTCAGCAAATAGGGAATAACACAGAATGTCCCTGTGTCTGGTTTGCATTGTTGCATTACAGTTTAGTAAAATGTGCTCCTTTGAGGGGAAAATGAAATAAAGATATTTTAGAATTTTCAAGGTGATGCTCCTTTAAAATTACGGTTAATAGGGCTCATGTAAGTCTGCCATGCAGCTTGGGAAAACCTCACATGTTTTAGAAATTTATGTTGGCACTGTGTCTTTTTATAGACCCTTTAAATATAAAGTACCCAAGCTGTATGTAAAAGTGTAAGTGACTTAGCTGTTATGGGAACACCAGCCAAGTAGACAAAGGCTAGATCAAGGTAACGTTGCTCAGCGCTAGTATCTGACAGTTACTTAACATCAGTTTAGTTCAGTAAACAAGTAAGTGCCATATAATAAGATAAAAAAAAGCCCCACAGAATATAATTAATACTGACAACTCGTTAAATTTTCAGAAATGTTCAGTTTTAGTTGTGTTCCAAAACATTTCTGTGGGATTTTTAATCATCCCAAGTGTGGATTACATATACTTAATTCTTGCAGCTCTAAGGAAGAAATCAATTTCAGGAGACCTATTCTCATTTACGGAACTTAACTGCTGCACCGGAGCTCTAGTCTTTAGGCTCCTCCACTCTCCGTGATTTGAAAAGGAGCGTTGGCAGAGGTGCTGTGGGAGCAAAAGGGCACGGGTCTGAACACCGCTGTGATTTTGGAAGCCAACGGCATTTCCTCAGGAGCTGAATATGTGCCTGCAGAGACAGGAGCCAGTTCTGCAGAAAGCCATCTGCTCGGTTTCCCCCTGGAGGCAGGCTCTACACCGTGCCTCTCATCTCTTCTGCCGGTTCATTTCTCCCGTGCCTGTACTGGGAAGGGAAGGACGAGGCGTGCCAGCCTGGTCCTTGTGCCCAGTCCTCTGCTCTGGGCAGAGGTGATCTCTCTGCAGAAATCCTCCGTGCAGGTGCCTCTGCTGTGAAGGGCTGCCTGACCATCACCTGTGGCAAATGGGTGTGAAATAGTCTGTTTTTCCTGAATTTTTTGCCACTAGTGGTAACCTTAAAGCTGAAAGACTAACTTGTAGCAAAACAAGGACTGAAAAGGGGAAGATAAATAAGGCTGGAGTGAGAAACTGGTGCAAATTGGAGGGATAGGGAAGAACAGTTGGTAAGCTCTTCTGAGACCTGTTTGAAGTATAGTTTTGAAATAAGCTTCTCGGTGTGTGACAGGTATGAAATCCTCTTGTCTGTGGGGTACTGAATGTATTTGTAAGAAAGAAAATTTGGGAAGTTTCTGCTGTTCTCTTCCCCAGTCTCTCTGCCTCTTTACCCCTCCATCCTTTTTCACTAGCTGCTGCTCCGAGCTTTTGCTGTGAAGCTGCTTGTTTGCCTGCCTGTAGGTTTTTAAAGAGCAGGAGTGCACAGGTGCTGTTCTTTGGTACCTGAAAAGAGCAACAGCTTCTTCTTCAGGAAAAAGGAGCCCTGGCTGCACAGACTAGCTGTAATTCTTGCTAGTGTTGGTCACAGAGGATAGGCTGCACATGTATTTTTAATGAGATCTGCGGTTATCTAGTTGCACTTACCTTAAAAGCTTCTTGCTTGCCACAGCTGATTAACCAAGTCTTGCCTTGATATCTAGATGTAGCATAATCTCTACACATCTGTAAAATTCATATACCTGACACGCAGAAGATGAACAAACCCAGAAATCACTGATGTGGCTGTTGTTAAAAAAGTGAGAGATATTTATTTCTGCTATTTTGGAATATTTTTCTTTACAGTGTGCCTGGGATGTCTCTCCATTTCATTCTTATAACAGAGGAGCATTAATATGCTCTTATCCCACCCTTAATACATCGAGATGTTTTAGTCTGTTAGAAAAGGACATTTTACAGGGGAATACACAGAAAGGCTTACAAAGCTTGATTCAACAGAGCCAATCAGAAGCCTGATTTCCTTCTTTTGACATACCTTTTTTTCCCCTCTGCTGCATTCACTGTCACAAATAACTTGTGTGGTATTTCTTGCAAAATTTTTGACTGGATTTTCCACATGCTACCGCTTTTGTACTTTTCATTGCAGGACCCTCATTGCAGGGGATCCTTTCCCAGCTTGCCGCTTGACTCAGAAATTTGTTCTGGAAGCAGTTAAATGCAGGTGTGCTGGGGCTGGAATGAGTTGGCCAAGATTAAATGATCTGAATAGAGCATATAAAATAACCACAGGGCTTCCTGTCCGTAAGCCTCTTGGCACATGTCAAAATAGAAGTGAGAGATATCAATATTTCTGTAACGTGTCTGAAAGTTCGTCAGGAATTTTTTGAAGACCGGCAGAGGTTTTCCTGCAATTTTTAAACTTTCCTGAGCGTCTGAGACTCGATGGGAGGGAAAAATTCCTTTTTTTTCCCTTTTTTTTTTTTTCCTGCAAAGGGCAGGTTGGCAATGAGAGCCCCTTACTTGAGCACTTAGGCTACGACGAGCAGTGCCTGCACTTTTGAGATTTGCTGTTTCCTTGTTATTGCTGCAAGAATGGAGGCTCGGCATGGGGTAACCTGATACCAGGAAGGTATGGGGCTTCGAGTCCTCACGTATAATGATTACGATGACTGTTATACTACGAAAGGACCAGGCCCAGTGGTGCCGTCATGACAGGGAGAGCTGCGTAATTACCGGCGATCCCAGCCAGCGCTTGCACAGCACTTTAGAAGTTGGGTCGCGCAGCCAAAAGACTTAGTAAGAGGGAGGATAGCGGCGTTGGAGGGGTAAGGCAAGAGGTTTAGGGTCTGGCAGTGGTTGCTTAGAGGGAACATGGCTTTGGGGAGTTGTAATTATGTTGATCATTTGGGTTTGAAGGATGCCTGCCGAATTTGCTGGACCTCATTTTGTGGGAAATAGAAGTTTGCAATTGCTGCCCTGCAAGGCTCCGTTATTTCAGCGGCTCGTCCCTGCTGGCGCTGTTGCTGGTGGCTTCAGAGGAAAGCTGCAGTGGGAACCTGGGAACAAGCCACCTGAAGGCAAAAATTTCTGTCTGGCGGTGCTTTCTTGGTTGGGCAGTTCTTGGAGACAGATGGGTTTGGATGGGTTCTCCAGCTCAGAAACACAGCTCTTAAGCGTGGGTGATGCGAAGGTGTAGTGCGAGCAGCCGGGTAATCTCTTGGCAGCCATGTAAAAAGCTGTGTGCTTGTAAACCAGTGTGAAATTTTCATAAAACCCCAATAGCTTGCTGCAGGGAAAGGACAGGCGATGCATTGCCCAAACTGCTTTGCTTGATCCTTGTTTTCACTCACTGTTGGGCACAAGGAGTGTGAGGACTGTTGGGGGTAGCTGCTTTGCAAATCCTATTTGCAAATGTCATGCCAGGGAGAGCTTGGAAAACGACTATGTCTCATGTGATTACTGGGGTAGGAGGCAGAGGATTCGGGGGTTGGTTTTTTTTTGGCTTTCCCTTTAAATTCTACTGAAAATGAAAAGGATTTCCTAGAAATCAGAAATGAGATTATTAGTGCAGGGATTAATGCCAAGCATGGAACTCACAGTGGTCTTTTTTCCAGCAGAATTTTCAGTAGGCTTATGGTAAGCAATTTTTTACTTGCAATGTTTTTCTTCTTCAGCAAAAGAAACGTGAAGTTACATAAAAGCATTACTTCTTAAAAATGAAAAGGTAAAAAAAAAATAATCTGAAATAGGAGTTACAGGAAGCTCTGCACACAGTAGTATAAACCAAATACAGCTTTCTGATACTTTTTATAAAGTATCATAGAGATCTAAAAATCCCTTGGGAATAGCAGCTTGAAGTATGTCTTGCCAAACTGGGAGATCTATTCAGAATCTCAAGTTTGAAATGTTGGTATGAATCCAAAGGGAATTTGAGTTAACTGGTAAAGAAAGATTACCTCCATTTCTATGCATTCAACATCTGTTGTATTTTGCATGTGATGTCTCATTTTTCTGTTAATGCTTCTAGAACTGTGTTTTTCAAAATACAGATTAATTCTCTCCCTCAAAAAGGGAACCAAAGCTAATGAAACAGAAAATCAAAAAAAGTCAGGAGTGAGTTCATGAAAAAACTGTGTGATATTTTGCTGCTTGGTAAGAACATAGCCTAAGTGTAAATTGGGATAATTAGTGAATTACACAGTGAGCTCACTGGATATGTGTACATATAAATGAGATATGGTTACAACAACTTGAATAAACAATATTAACGTGAAAACTTTCTACATTGGAAAGATAAATAAGTGCTAGGATATCTCATTTTAAGTAGCTATTCATTTCCGTGAAATGCACTTTTAATTTTTTAAGTTCTTTCATGTTAACTTTGATGCCTCATCTTGTACTGTAATTTATTTATATCTGTTTATTACCTTTAAGTGTTAGAGACATACATGGAACTGGAGGACTTCAAACCTTCACTCGAAAGAAATACAAAAGCAAACTTTTATTAACTTCGTCTTTACTTTAACTTGCGTATGAAGTATAGTGCTATTATCTTTTTCTGAACTAGGAACGACAGCGGCTGGAGACAATCCTCAATCTGTGTGCAGAATACTCCAAATCTGACAGCGACCCCGCTGCAGCTACCACAGTTGCTGATGTTCAAAAAATCAACAAAGAGCTCGAAAAACTTCAGCTCTCTGATGAGGATTCAGTGTTCGAAGACTCCCAGATGAATTTGGAGATGCGGTTCAGGGGCCACTTGAAGTCGTCTGCCAGCGATTCGGATTTCTCGGAGCTGAGCACCCACAGCCGCAGCACCATGGGCGCTTTCCTCCCGTCCAGGGGGGTGAGAGCCGACGAGCACCTCAGCGAAAGCACGAAGCCTCTGCCTTTCGCCGCTCCTGGCTTCCTGAAGGATGCTGCTGAGTCATCATACCTAAGCATCACACCCAAGGTAACACCCTGTAGGAGGAAAAGGTACAATCTGGGTTCGACCGATCGAAATCCTGCTCTAGGATTGGGCTGTCCTGACAGGGGCCACCGTTATGATGGCTTAGCTGTCAGAATTAATCACAGAGCTCGTACAACTTAGCAACCAGCAAATGGTTATTTCATTTTCTGGGGAAGCTGTTGGTACTGCAAGCTGGGTTTTTTTTTAGTTCTTGGTTTTGTTTTCAGAGGGATTACAGTTTGGGAAGAGATTTTCTGGGGGAGAAGGATTTGCTTGAACAATTCTAGCTCCTTAAGTAAGGAAAGTTTCAGGAGCTCTGCTTAGCACCCTTCTGGGATATAGGAGAGAAGGGAAGCTCTGCTGTCTTCTCCCAGCGTGAGGGCCCTGTCTGTTGTAAGCGGAGGATGTTTTCTGGTGGGCAAACCAGAACGGGCACACAGGAGGTGAAGAGGAGCTGCCTGAGCTGAATTTGATGTCCTGTCTCTTTTCCCAGGGTTGGACCTGAGCCACTTCTCAAATCAGCTGTTGCCTCTCACAGACGTGGGGCAATAGCCACCCTCCTGCCTCTCCAACCCAACTCCTGCCTTTAATAAGCTGCAGCTCCTTTCCTGTGTACTTCACACTGCTGTTTTGTTACTGAAGGGAGATTGTCCTTTAAAAAATGAGCTAACAGTGTTCCTAACAGGGCAGCAGCAACCTCCTCTGGGCTGGCACAGGGCCGTTTTGTTACCTTGTTTCAGTGCCTCGGCACTGGTGTCCCAGAGTAAATCCCAGCGGCAGGTGTTGGGTTAAATAACTATATTCGAGCGTTAGAATCAGGAGCGTAAAAAGACCAAGCAAAGCCATAAAAGCAGGTTTCTGTTTATCAAATTCACACCTTCTAAGTACTTTATGTCTCTCCTTTTATGCTGTATGAGCTTCAGCATGCCTAGCATGAATTGTGTTTAACCTCTGCTTAACTTACAACTTTATAGTCAATAGAAGTGCGTAGGTGGAGAAGAAGAGAGGCGTGATAGGAAAACATTTTATCTCACAAAGGGGTATTTCTCTGGAAAGCTGTCTGCTGAGTCTTTCGATGTGAAATGCTGTTGAACAGACACATTCTCTTATGGCTTTGCTTGATTTTTCTGTGTTGGAAAGGTGGTAAGACATTTCACTTAACAAGTTATTGTCGTTTTGCATTTCTTTCCCATTTGTTTCTTTTTTTGCGCAAGTCAGAGGTCCTACTTTAAATCCTTATTAGGAAGTTGAAATCCAAGATGTTGTGTCAGCATTATCCGAACAGGATACTGGACAAAAAGAAGCTTTCCTGCTAGGCTTACTAATGCTAATCAAGGAATGCCATTCATTCATTCCTTCATAGTAAAGGGTGTTCTGCTAAGCCCTGAGAAAAGCAGCAACAAGCAACTGCGTTAATGAAACACGGGTCATTGTTTTAAAATATCGAGATCAGATTTTTTCAGGATAAAATGCCTGCTCTCAGAATAGCCATTCAGTAGCTGAGCTTGAGCCTCTTTTGAGCAAGGCTGTGTGGTCCAGTGGTTAACACGAAGTCCCACACGCAGCCCGCTTCTAATTCTGACTGGGGACAATGAGCGAGAAGTCTTACCCTAGTAATTGAATCGCAAGCCCCCAGGGTCAGATGAACATGAAGAATACTTTTGAAACTCAATGCTCTTTGATGTAGCCTTTGCTGGTATAAGATCACAGGTATTTTCTTAATAATGCTATTTAATTCTTGGCACAGTTGTCTGGTAATTAAACGACAATGAAAAGAGCAACGTTAGAGGTGCTGCTTCCTGCGTGCTACCTGGGGAGACAAGACCAACTTTTGTTCTTATTTATAATGCAGCTGCCCATTGTAATGGCTGGTTGAAGAAATGTCCTACCCTCCTGGCTTTTATTTATATGAACAGCTGAAATTTGCATAAAAAGCATCTTCATCTCTCTGTGTTATTTTTATAAGGGGAAAATTGGCTTTTTACAACCTAAATAGCACAGCATGTGAAGTACTCTCTAATGCTAGGTTTTAAGAATTCCTGTAGAATGAATAGCATTTACTGTTAAGTATAGTGTTTACTTCTAATGCCTGGAAGTGAAGTATCATGTTTGTTTCTCTTATACACCTTCTAAATATAGAAATAGCAATATAGTAGATATGAAATACATAACGGGCTTAGAACCAGCAGTGCTGTGCTTGTCTAAAATGAACACAATATGAAAGGGAGAAGGAAAGCCAATGTTTAACTCTTTTTGTTTTGTTTGTTTGTTTGTGTTTGTATTCACTGAACATCTTGTAACATGCAACTGCAGATACCAGAATGCACAAGTGATGAGCAAAGAGGGCAGGAGCTTGGTCGACTGGAGGAGGAGCGCTTAGTAGTACTAAATAACTTGGAAGAACTTGAGCAGAAAATCAAAGATTTAAATGACCAGATGGATGAATCCTCAAGAGAGGTATGAAATATGCTTTGGTTTTAAATGTCTTGCTCGTTAGGTGTGTCTATGCAGCATAAGCCTGGGGGGTCCAGCAAGTACGTAGGGAACTCATGGGTGCAGGGAGCCTTCCTATTCTGTGCTTTCTCACCGGGATTAGGCACAGAATCACAGACCTGGCAGTCTCCTCCCACGAAGGCTATTTTCGCCCGGGTGGAAGATGGGTGTGATGCTCCAATTAGCCTTTCCCAGTTGTGATCATTATGCTCCTAAGTGGAATTGTAAAAAATCTTTCTTGTTTAATAGTCACTTGATCGGCCTTATTAAATACCTTGTGTCACTTGGGAGTTTTATGGTGGTATCTCCTGTGAGTGTTTAAACAGAAAGGAAGTGAGACAACTTCCTTTCAAGCCTCTTTGGCTTCACAGTGGCAAGGGTATGTTGGCACCCTCTTGACTTGTGGAATCTCACGGTTGCAGACTAGGCTGGCCAAGCATTTGAGTTGTGCTTGCTCCGATTATCAGAGACAGGAAAGAAACAGCTGTTCCAGAAGGGTTTCCTACTGAGCCTGAGCACAGAGAGTCGGTACAGTATCATTACAGGAGGAAGCACAGAGAAGAGATATAAAAGAAAAAGTTTTGGGAAAAAAGAATCTTCAAAGTAAAGTTGGTTTGGACTTTATTCTGCAGTGGTTTGTGTTGCAGTTTTACTTTTTCTCAGATTTGTGATCTCTTTTTAACTTCTGTGGCAGTAAAACTTTTTTTTCCCCTCTTTTTAAGAAATGTTTCTCTTGTGAATAGTCACCAACTCATTCCCCTTCCCCCAGAAAATAATGTGTATCAAGATTTCTTCTTAATCTGGACTGCTTCTGAAAAATGTCTTGTGTTCCTAGTTGGATATGGAATGTGCCCTTTTGGATGGGGAACAGAAATCTGAAACAACAGAGCTGCTGAAAGAGAAGGAAATATTGGATCATCTAAACAGAAAAATAGCTGAGCTGGAGAGAAATGTTATTGGTGAAAAGACAAAGGTAATTGAGTTATCTTAGCTAGCTGTGTACTCTGTTCCCCTTGATCTTCAAAATACATTTATATGATTAACATATTTATGGAGGTTATTTTATAAAATATTGTCTGTAAGTAAATTTACTTGATAAATGTGGAAGGAAAAAATAGTTGTCTCACTATCATCTCCCTTTAAGAACCTTGTTTCCTAAGGTATGCTTGATAATCAAAATACAGTTTGGTTAAGTAAAAAGCCCTGACCTACTGTGAAGATATTTTTGATTAAAAAATCCATATAGGGCTTGGACTTGGATTGTATGTTGTTTAAAAGAACAGTGTTAATTGAACCTTCCATTTTAGGTTACATGGTTTGAATTTAAAAAAAGTAATTAAAAAGATAATCCTTTTTCAGCAAGGGAACGTAATTAAAGAAGGCTATGGTTTCAGAAGATGGCTTTATTTATTATTATATATGATATATAAGACATAAGTACGCAATTTTAAAGCAATTATGTTGGTTTATTTTGTTTGCTGACTGCTGATTTTGGTACTCTAGAACATTGTCTCTGTGATTAAGTTCAAGGAATCAGTTAGTTCTGCTATATAGTCAGATACTTAACTGCAAAATAGGACAGCACTGCAATGAGATTTTTAAGTACAGAAGTGGAAAGGGCCTGCAAGATGAAGCTGTGCCCCCTGGAAGAGCTGGTTCCCTCAGCAGACTCTCCGCTGGCTTCTCCAGGCAGTTCCCTTCTCCACAGGGGATGTGCCAGGGCCCATAATAAACATCTCAAGGTCAGGAAGTTTTTTCCAGGCCTTTCAGCCTGTGGTGAATTTCACCCTCTACCTCATCATTTAAACCTGTCACTTGTGGAAATACACTAGCTAGTGTCTCTTCTCTTTTTTTTTTTTTTTTTTTTAAGCTTTTCAGAAATATCTCGAAGTCTTCTGCGTTATTTGGTTTTGTTTGGACGACCTGCGCATTTTTAGCTCTTTCACAGTTCCCATTTAATTCCAGCCTTACAGCTTGCATTGTTTTCTCCTGAGCTTTTGGTTCTGCGGTTTCTCCCTACCCTGTCACCAGCCTGAAGGCTGTTTTGCAGCTCTGCTCACTGTGCCTATGTCTTAGGAGGAGCGTAGGGCTCCCACCTCTCAGCCCTGAAGGTGACAGCGCACATCCACTTTAACCTTGAATTTCTATGGACTTTCCTGCCCACACTTTTCCTTTTCCTTCCGTACTGCTCAGTGACCCTTCAGCTTTCCATGTTTTCTTTGGTCAACGTTTTAAGTTGTCCGTGGATTGTGTTTCATACTTGCTTTTTGGTATAAAGATGAGTTTAAAGTTGGCGACAGCAGATAGGTTGATGCAAGCAGATGCCCATCCAAAAGGATAGAAGCTGACAGAAACTTTGGTTGGTGACACACAATATTTCCAGAAATTCAGTGCGTCTTTTACCTTTTATACTTGTTCTCTAGTAGCCTCAAGGTTCAATGAAATTCATGGAAATAATTCTAAAACCTGTAGGTTGTTAAAATTTTCTTGCAAATGGAATGTTAGTGTGTAGCAGTCAGAAAAGTAAAATGCCAGGTCTAGTTTAAATTGTCAGTTGAACTGAAATATAGAAAGTGGCTTAGGAAAAGCACTTCTGTTATTTTAAAAGACAAGTTCACTCAAAACATTTTTTTTCAACGTGGAGCACACCACTAGTCAGAGCAGTTACAATATTTTAGCTGTCTTTTGTGTTCTATTTTTAAAAAAACAAACAAACAAAAAACCCAGCTGTGAGTGCATGCTCTAGACTTAAAGCCGTGGCTCAGTTAATCCTGAAATTATCTTTGTAGAAGTAAACTCTAAGAAAGCACACAGATTCTGTTCTGGAAGATGTCTGTTGCATAAAAGTGAAAGTTTAAAAAAAGAAATTGGAGACAAGCTTCTGTGAACGAGCAAAATACAAAATGACAGCTGGAGCATTCTGGAGAAGGCAGCATCAGGCAGCAAAACAGATGGCACTGGTCATGTCAACAAATAAAAAGTCTGGCTGAATTGAAACAACAGCATTTTTTTAAAGCTTAACTTGTATGCTTGTGCACTTAAGGTTACAGCCCTGCAGATCCCATGCAAGACAGGCAACATCTTGGCTCTGTAGTAATTGACCCCCCTTGGCAAAGGGGTACTCAGGTGGAGGTGGTGGGTGGTCTTTTTTGCTGAAATAATTTGAAATTTATGACAATCTCAACAGAATTAAAGCTCAAGTTTTGGGCAGTAGTTGCCACTGTGCTGATGGTACTTTTTATATTGTTTCTTGCAAGAACAAATTTCACATGGTCATGGTTTCTTCTAGTTGCCTGACTATTTCACCCCTGATAATACCAGTGGTCTTGGTGGGGCTTCCTGGCAAGAGGCTATTGCGTCCAGTCGCTCAGACGGTGGCCACATTTCTGTCAGGGTAAGGGATATCTGAATACAACTAATGATGTTGTCCTGAGGTGACAGGGAGAGTTAATTTTGCTTGCAAAACGACGGTGGGTTGTTAGTGCCATGCATGATGGCACTTGTCTCTGGAGCGACTTGAGCATCTCTTGGAATTTGGCCCTGATCTCGGCACCTGTTTGACAGGAAACCTCTGCCTGGTTGTGTTTCATCCTTACTCATGCACCTGTTTGAAAAACTTGTGAAATTCTTAAAAGCAGAGATCATAAACTACAGCCTAATTATTGGGTCACATTATGTACTTGAAATAGACTGTAGGTGGAAGCCCTTGTGCTGCTTTCTACCCGATTCTTAGATTTTTTTATATATATGTTTTTTTTAAAGCATTGCACAAAGTTTTACCAGCTTCTATACAGTTTAAAGCCACAATTTCTAGCCCTCGTGAGGCAAGAGAGTCAACTGGAAAATGGAGGCAGGAGAGTTGTGGGTTCAGTTTTGGGCTGTGCCACTGTGCTCTTTGCTGTGATACAATGTCTCTTGCTTGTAAATCAGGAACGGATTTTGCAAGCAGGTTTGTGTATTTCGTGGTATGTGGCGTTCTGACCTCGTCTGAGTCCTGTGCTCAGCCCTGGGTAGGAGCACATGGCAGGACTAATGGTGAGGAAGAAGGAATGAGTTGGTGGGGAAGATAATGCTGCATGCACTCTGTGGTGAGTTGAAAGAGTTTCCCTGGTTTTTGTGAGTGTGCCACCGTGCCTCTTGTGAGGAATGACACAATCAGTGCTGATTTACTTAAGTTTTGGAAAAAAGAGCTATGAGTGGTTGCAGCTTTGGAAAGAAGATGACAGAGCTTTGCACCTGTCGGTGTAGTTCTGGCTGTGGTTCATCTCTGCCAGGTACAAGTGCTGACAGGAGTTGGTTGCCTTGGCTGAGGTAGCTGCTTCCAGAGCTGTTTGGCATGGCCTGTGCTTTCAGCTGTGCTGGAAATCGTGCTGGTGTGTGGAGGAAGGGCCAGCTTTGCCTCCCTGGTGATACTTCCGGAGCACAGCTCTCTCTCATTCTTCTTTTTTCTTTTTTTTAATTACCATGTGCTACATAGTTGGTTTTATCCACAGAAAAAGATGACCAACTATATGTCTGAATAGCAGCATTAGTAGCAAGTTCCAGTTAATGCAGGGACGGCCCTGCTAAGATTAATAACACAATTTGGTAGGTACACCGTGAAGCTCTCCAGGAAAGAGCTTACTTTGAGCGCAGCCTTCTCTGGAGAGTCGAGCTGGGCAGTACCCAGAAACAAGCAAGCAGGTGAGACAAAGTCCTTTTTAACACTGTCTGGGCCCAGCTGCCTGTAATTACTGCTTCAGTCATTCACATCACTGTGCCAGAGGTGTACAACAATGATGCTGTTGTTTCAAGTGGGGTAGCACCTCAAGTCCGTGGTGCTGTTTGCAGTTACAACTTCCTCTCGATGACCCTTTGCTCCCAAGTCTTCGTACAGGATTGACGTTTGTCTATAAGGAAGCTGGGGAAAATTATATTTGCTCAACCGGATCTTTTTCAGATTTGCAAGATACTTTCTTTTCATACGGTGCTTTCTTAGTCTGTGTGGTTTTAATACATGCAGTGCAGTGCGTGGGGAGAAGGATGCTTAATGATTCACCGTGCCTGACGTCTCCACGTTAAAGCATGAAGTTGAAAGTAGCATCTTAGCCAGGGAAAGAAAGAGTAGATCAGCGCGCATGAATAAACAGGAATAACTGAAAATGAGTAATGAATTCAGCAGAAGTGCTGTAGGAGGGTATCACAGCTAAATGGCAGTTTTGGCAGAGGGTTTAAAAACAATTATTTATGCAAAAGCTTAGACTGTGTTTTAAAAGAAGGAGGTTGTTTCTTTTCTTTTGGAGGGCCTTTGCCTTATGTCACAGTGGAAAGGCATACTCTGGGGCTCTCTAATCAACCTGGGTTTCCTGTCCCTCTTCAGGAGCAGAAATCAGGAGCAGCTGGCAGTGGATAACACATCTTTTTTTGGAATACATATAATTTTGTCCACATGCTTTTGTGGAAATATTTTTCAGTCATTAACAGAATATCCCAGACATGCCAAAACATTTGAAACTTGGCCTCTTTGCTGAATTAGTACTGCAAAGACTTGCAAGAATTGAATCAAGGAAAGAGCAGCTGTCTGGTGAGACACCAGCAATCAAAGTTAAATATACTGGTGGTTTCTTCTCAATCCTTTCTTTTCCAGATTCAAGATTCCTGCTAAGATCCTGATGAATCTAATAATTCTATGCCTCATAGCATCACCTTTTAAATCTTTCCTGATCAGATTCCAGTTCAGCAAGTGTTTTAAATGGAAGAGTTATTGTGTCTAGAACGTTATTAATCTCTTTAAGACGTGGTACACAAAATAAAGTATTTTGAGGAATACTTGCATCTACTAGATATATCCACATTGGATGTCCTGTGCAGAAAACACTAGTGGGGAAAGAAATGGTTATGAAGACTCAAGGAGAAAAGTCTGGATTCACAAGCTTTCTTTTAAGTCAGTCATGAGAGGAATAGCAGAATGGGTTGCACCATTAAGGGAAAATC